AGGAACTATCTTAAACTTAGTCAGATCATATCTTGGCACAATCTCAGGGTAACATTGCAGCTATATCAAACATAATTCGTGTATATCTGAGTTCTATCTAGAAGCTTGTTCAGACTTACTACGTTCATAATTCTGATTTCTCTTCTCCAAGTGTGAAAGTTATAAAGGGCTTAATTAAAACCCTACCTAAAATTGTCTAGGAGTTTTCTTGAACTGATTTCAAGAATAGCACCCGTGACTTATTTTACACATATGTTAGCTATATATCAGATTCATCTGGTTTCATATAGAATTTATCTAAGACTTACTTTGAACATATTTGGGCTTTATTGTGCATTTACGCACGACTAATGTTGTAGCCGGCATTTCGCTACGCTGAAGGCGCAAATGCACACTAGACACTAGTTCAAGGGAAAACGCTGACTTTCAAGCGTCAGAGTCACTATAGAGTTATCTAGACATAGTATAGTCAGCAGAATCACTTAAAGTCACTTAATGCTACTGAAATCAACTGAATATATCTAGATTCAACGTAATGGCTTGTTCAATATTGTGCAATGAATGTCTGTTTTAGAGCGACAAGCCACTGCAGAGATGGCGAATGTCTTTGATACGATGTCGGTAGTTTTCTAATTACAATCCAGCGATCAGTGTTTGCTATCTGTTCTCGATATAGTAAGACATGTACTGATACAGAGACACTTGGTCTTCACCGAGACTCTCACGAGTATCTTAATGTCTTCTTTCGACTTTCATCCGATTTATTTCCAGATTTTACAAACAGACAAAAACATCAAACTTTGTTCGAGGTCTTATCATGCGAAAGATAAGTTTTTATTGTGTTCGAAACTTTGAAGATATTTGAAGGATCAGTAGTCCTATTGACACAAGATATTTTAAATCAAAATTTATTTATACTCGTTTCGATAACGGCGTTGTCAATTCTTCTTCAGATCAACGACAGCTCAGCACTAATTAGTCGCAATCGACAGGACGTATTAAAGAGTCAGAGTAAGGGTATCAGAGATTTAATGCTAAGGAGTGTCGTGGATCTAATTACATAGGTATCGAAAAGCGATCTCCATCATTAGAGAAAAAGTCCTCCAGAAGCTAAATAGAGGTGAAATTTTCATAGTCGACTACTGGGTTGATTAATAATAGGACAATGCAAAAATAAAAATTTATCTAAGCGCTTTTTATACTGTCATTTGAAAGGCCGCTAGGAGTACAAGGATAAAAAATCTTGATGTCATTAAAGGAAAGTAAGTATGCTAGGGTTGTAGCCCATGGACGGCTTGGTATTGCTTTCGATTTCTTTTCTAAAATATAGCGGGATCCGAGTTCGACTGATTATCAGATAATATTCGAAAAAATATGTTGTTACATACACAGGCTTGCTCATCGTCGTTATGTTAGAAAAACATCAACATGGTGGAGCAAAGTCGGCTATGGGCTACAATCATAGTATATTCATTTTTCCTGTAACCGTATTTGTAGTTGTTTTGGCACCCGCCATATCGTTTGAGTGATAGTATAAAAAGTGTGTAGTTAAGATTTCATTTGATATTATTCTAATGAATCAGATTCGTTGTTCTCGATTATACGATTGTCATTCTACTCTCATTTGGTGCTCGATAAATCTAATTTTAAAATTTTCGATCAGAACGTCAGAAGCAGAGCATGGCATAAGAATGAGCCTCTATTCCTCTAATAAATACAGATAATCAAAACTTAAACTGCTGAACTCGAAATACTTAGGTATTCGGCCGAAGGCATCCATATTGATAGGTTTCAGAAGGACTTGGGCATTCCTTTACTTATCTAAGCATGTTTACAAGCTTCTTACATTGTTTTAAGTCATGTATAATCGTTTGACGTACCTTGAAATGGATACAGTCACTAGAATCATGAAATCGAGAAAGTGATAAAGCTAGTTATGTCTCTCTTGCAGCTTACTAACGTTTATAAAATTTTAACTTCATCTAGAGACAATTCAAATCGATTGGAGTTATTTAAAATCAACTGGAGTCACTTGGAATGCATCTTTTAATTCTCTATAATCCTGCATTTTTTAACTGAGTCGGTTAGAATTCGTTACTTTGGAATCAACGACAAAACAGATATGTGTAAAATCCGCAATTTTCTGAAACAAAAGTTTCAAAGTCGATTTGTATGCCACTGGATAAGCATTATTGCTATTGCTATTCATATGTAAAACTGGGATAAAAAGATGAATCTTTAAATAACTTTGCATTTTCACTTTTTAATACTATCGAAATATATGGAAGCTACTGAAAGATCCATTCTTAATGGTCCACACGTTATATTATATGTATTTTTATTCAAAGTAGTTAAGAAAGCAAAACAAAAACAGACAATGAATATTTATTGATGTTACAAGAATTTGTCGGATTTAAAAAGCAGTACATAAATAAAAAGTAAGCCATATAACTTTCGCGGTATTAATTTCTGCTGTGAACTTTCGGCAAGTAGAGATTCCGTCACAGCATAACTTTTCGAAGTTGATGAAAGTTCAGTGCAATAGTTACTGCAACGAAATTCATATTATCCTACTCTCTTTTGTTTTTAACAAAACAAGAAATTATATTGTTGATTCTTTAGATTTTGAAATACCTTCTCATTTAGTGTTCTACTTGATAAGTTAACATTACTTTGGAAACAGCAGACTTCAAGATTGCATGATATTTCAGATTGACGTTTTTGCTGTTGCCTCTGAAAAAGATAGAAAATCATATTCTTTTATGTAATATGAATGGTATCGATATAATCAACTTTGAAGATATTGTGTGAGCTGCATGTAATCATGGAAAATAGGTAGTTAGTAATTTGAGCATATCAGTTTTATTAAAAAAATTTAGTGGCTATGAATTCAATGGTTTACGAAGACTTTGCTACAATAAACGCAAACAATTTCTATAACGTGCGCACTACAACAAAGTGTGCTAAATCTTGACGCTTTTTTCTTTTACTTTGTAAACATAAGAAGTTTTCTTTATTTGCTAAAAGTGAGAGAATTTCAAACTGTTAAAAACTGTCGACTTTTTGTTTTTGAAACAAGTCTACACTTGTCGGTATCAAATTTAAAAGATTCAGGCCAACTTAATGATTCAACTGCGATTTTCAATTCTCTCCTGACACTTATTGATTTTTGTAAAAGTCTTTGCTCGTCAAAGCCGGTATCAAAAGTAAATTTGTTGCTCCATGCCTCTACAACTTTTCAATCAGAAGTGTATGATAATCGATAGATTATCGAACATGTCACAAACTCTGGGATACGCGCATCTGCACGTTTTAAATGCCGTGTTTCGGCCGACAGTTGTCTAAAAACAGATTTATTGACTGATTTCACTGAAAAAGTATGGTTTTTCACGTTGTTGCATTGCATTTTTTGACTGAAAAATAGATAGATACTCTAATGTGATTTTGTTGGAAGAGCAAGACTGACATACTGAAACGATAAAACTGTGTTTGTACGACTCATTGATTAGAAACACAATGGGTTTTTGTCATAACAATTTATAATATCAAGTTATTAAACCTTCCCTATCGAAACGTCAAAAAAAGATGAAATTCCGTAATGGGTGATATCTCAAATCTTTTATTTGATGAAGCTAGACTCGATCAGAAATGACCTAATATTCTAGCAGTTTGGGTGTGGGTATGAGTGGGTGTTGACATCATGAAGCAGAAGATATACACCCACACTCACACTCCACCCAAAGTCAACAATTGTGTAGAGCTTGAAGTTCTCTATGTTTAGGCATAAGAGAAAACGTTTTTGTGATTAAGAAACAAGAGAAAAAATACATTGAGGTTTGGCGCAATTTCTTCTAGAACATTCGTTATAGTACTATAATCTAAATTTTTCTTCATTTACTTGTGGAAGAAATTTTAAAAAATATAACATCACTCTTTCATAGGCAAAATACAGTTTCTTACAACACTAATATCAACAGTTTAAAACTCCTTAATTAAAAATCATTCGGGTTCTTTGATGACTCTTTCATTTTCTATTCTCAATTTTATGTTTTACGCCTTACTGAATATTTCCTGTCTGATTAAAATTTCAACTATTAAACTGATAGATATACAATTTGAGGTTGTGGAATGGGAATCTTCGTTTCACGCTGCACAGTGCTAGCTGATCTCACAACTTTGCTTCAGTTATATAATATAAATAGGTAGCAGTTGCTTTAAAGGGCATAGAATGATATATCTTAATTTTTAAATATCCAAAACACGAACAACTGCATTAGCCTGAGATCATGTTTTTTGCCCATCAGACTGCGATTGACCATCGAATAAATGAAGTCTATAATTATTTCATAGAACACGAAACTTGTTTTCAAATATCTTTACACTTGGCGATATTAGATTGAACAGTTATTTGATAGCTGATACAAACTTGACATCATATTTTGAATGTGAATATGAATATGAAAGAATAGAATGCAAAAAATAGCACTTCTATTATATATGTATATTTAATGGATTCAATCCAGTTTCGAAGAGCTCCTTGTTACTTATTCACAGATATAGCTAGTCGCGAATGGAAGAAATAAACTAACTTGATTAAAAAAAGACATTCATTTATAAATTATGAAGAATTTTGAGTATAAAAGCGCTCAAGTTTTTGCTAAAATAAAATAACAAAAACAAATAAAAAGTTTTAGTACATCATAGATAAATTGAATCTTACGGCCTAATGTACACACTTATAGAGTGTTTATAAAACTCAACGTACGGCCGATACACATTGTGACTCATTACCCTTGCTTGCATAATTTGCTAGTAGAAAAAGAAAACGATCAATACGAACGGAAGAGTACGTCCTTTGAATACGTAACTCAGGTAAGCATACGACCTTACCTCTTCTACATATATAAAGTATGTTACGCTAGTGGTATAGTATAAATACAATACTTTCACCTCATTTTATCCATAAAACATACATACATACATCTTAATTCAAAAACAAGATGCCTCCTCTTCAAGAGACTAATGAACATATTGATCAAGCGTTCACAAATGTTGATCCCAATGCAACAGTGAAATTCAGTGATGATCAACAAAGTCATTATGTTATAGAAATGCGTGGAGGTGATACATTACAAGTTCAAATGTCTATTGATGGTTCTCGAGCATTAGCATCATTATCTCCACGTATTACTGTTACATTTCATAATGTCTCAAAAGTTATTAATGTTCCAGCAAAAATGATTGATCCTTCATCAAAAGAACGATTT